CTTATTGTGCTTACATGTCAAATGAATGATGTATATCTTTTAATGGAAGCATGTTGATATGGGGAGATTTGTAGAAATCTTTTGAAGAGTAAAATGATCTTATATGCATGTTAATGTCTAAAATTTATGAAAAATGTACAAGCATGCTATTTTATAATATTATGTTCATTGAATGCACTTTGATAGGGGGAACATTTTTCAAATGCTACTCCACTTGCTTATGAACACATTAATGTTTTGTCATCATCAAAAAGGGGGAGATTGTTGACCTTAAGGATTCCATCCAAGGACAATTTAGAGGTTTTGATGATATCAAACCATTAATGGTGTTTAAAGACTAATGTTTACATTGAGTGTTATAGATTATTCACATTCAAAGGATGACCTCAATGAAGCACGAAAGATTATTCCAAGTATTTCATTATTCAAGATCACATCAAGAAAAGTAATGGATACAAAGAAGACATGAAGTTACAAAGAATCAAATCCAAAGTCCATCCAAAGATAGCTTGGACTACAACGAGTAAGAAAGTAACTCAAAGAAAGGAAAAAAACAAATCTACCTAAAAGGTTACACGATCATGGACAAAGCGCGAAGAAAGGGGTAGATAGGATGGTGAGTGTTTATGATTCAATGTCAAAGTATTTATGAATCCATTTGAAGCTCATCTCTATAGGACCATGCATATCATATCATCATTCATATGCTCCTATATCCATTAACAATAGACTATGCACTTCATTCATATATAATTGACATATGGAGTCATTGCTAAAGAGTGAGTTAGTTCAAGCTTACATAAGCTTTGAAAGAACTCATTACTTGTGCTAGAAATGCTGAGACCATGCACATCAATCATATTATTCATAAAATGCGCATCATGAAAAACTGTGTTTTTGGCTAAGTGTGAAAAATGGATTTTTGAAATAATGATTATTTCAAAATAATTTTTCCCAATAATAACTCTTTATATTTCAACTAGCCTAAAATGATTTAATCAGAATTTTTGACCAAGTCTACATTGGTCTACATGCGGATTCATTTTTACCAAATTTGTCGGAAATCCAAATTTGTACTAAAACTGAATTTCTACATTTTTGATTTAGTTGGATTTTAATTTTCTAGTATTTTTTATTGAATCCAAATGGGGGGTACTTCCTTATTTACATTGTAAACTTAAAGTAAATGGACATTTACTTAAATGTTTTCAATGAAAATAAGGTCTGTGCAAATGTCCTGTAGAGCACTGTCTAATCTGTTAACTTATAACAACTTATAAAGCAGCAGTTTCATTTCGGCAGACCGAAATGCATAGGCAAGTTATTTCGGCCTACCGAAATAAGGCACTCAGCACATCTCATTTCATTTTTGTCGACCGAAACAAGTGTGGGTTTCACTTCTGTTTACCAAAATAGAGATACCGAGAGGATGATATCCAACCTTAAGTCATTTTGGACCACCGAAACACAAGGGTGTTTCATTTCGGTCAACCGAACCTTACCCAGATCTGAATCTAAACGGCTATTTTCTCTCAGGCAGCGTGCACAACAGCTTTATTTTTGAATTAGATGCTGAAATTCTATAAATAGAGTAAAGGGAACTTCGGGATTTAGTGTTGCTACACTTGAGAGACATCTTCTAGTATTATAAGAACTTTTGTTCTTTATTCATATCATACTCTCTCATCCCATATCATTCATAGAGTATTGAGCTTCAATATATTCATATATACTCTAGAGTGAGCTGAAAGTTGTGAGCTTTGATTTCCATATCAATCTTTGAGAGATATACTTGTATGCAACAAATCTGATCTTCAATTTGTAAGGGCTGGTGTGGCCCAAGAAAGAAGAAGCAAGCTAGCTTCAATTTGTAAGGGTTGGTGTGACCCAAAAGAAGACTAAGAGAGGTTGTCTCTTAGCAAGGTGAAGTAAGGAGTTGCTTCATGTAAAGGTTTGTTCTCCACCCGTAAGGAGATGCACTAGCGGAATGAGAAGTCTCAAGAAGGGTCTTGAGCCGAGGAGTAGGAGTTTCTGAACCTCGTTAAAATCGCCGTGTGAATGTTTGCAAATATCTCTTCCCTTATCTCCTTTACATTTATGCTATAAATTGTTTATGCCTATATATTGATTATTACATAATGGTTAGAAGGTTTTAGTTAAATTTGCAAATTCGAAAATTGGCCATTGTTTGCCATAGACTCTATTCACCCCCCCTCTAGAGTCTATACTTGGGCAACAGATCCATATGTGTTTTATCACAAACTGTGATTAACCCCTTATTCACCATTTGATTAATAGACTTAAAATTCACGTGGCCTAATCTACCATGCCATAAATCAATTGACTCAGCAATATAAGCAGAAATTATTTCGTTTTGAACGTTAAGTTTAAACATACCATTTGCAGCATAGCCTTTCCCGACAAACACACCATTCTTAGACAAAATGAAATTATCAGATTCGAAAACCATCTTGAATCCATACTTGGAGAAGAGGGCACCAGACACCAAATTCTTGCGAATATCTGGAACATGTAGCACATCTTTTAGAGTAATCACTTTTCCGAGTCCACGCTTCCTTTACCCACAACCTTGGAAGAGGAAGAATTTCCCATGAACATTGACATTCCATCCCCCACTATTTCGTAGGTTTTGAAAGAGTTAAGATTCGTTGTAATGTGGCGAATTGCTCTAGTATCAATCCACCACTCCACTGAGGTTCCAATGACAAAAGCCTCAGTAATTACAGCAGTTAGATCTTCCTTAGCGTATTTCTTAGGCTCTTTTCGGTTCATGAGATCAGCCTTGCGTTTTCGACAATCTTTAGCAAAATGACCGATCTTATGACAATAGAAACACCCTTTGTCTTTTGCATTTGCACCGGAGCCAAAGCGTATTTTGAAACTTTCAGAAGACTTGGCTTTCAAATCATTATCTTGTGATTCTTCTACGGTTTTGTTGTGAGACATTTCCTCAACAACATGAGCTTTTACTGTTGTTTCTTTAGAATCTTGCTTGACATCACGATTTCTGGTTTCTTCTTCAATGAAGATGTGTTGCATTAATTGTTCTAGAGTAATATCTTCCCTTTTGTGCACGAGCTTATTCCGAAAATCCTTCCAAGATAGAGGGAGTTTTGTAATAATAACCCCTACATGGAAGTTCTCATCAAGAGACATTTTAGCAGTAATAATATCATTTGATATGAGTTGAAATTTCTATGCTTGCTCAAAGATCGACCTTCCATCTTCCAATCCACCTTGAGATCTTCTCGTTGATCGAACTAACTTGATCAGACGGCGTCTTGTCTCCTAGAGGAGTTGGACATGGCTCAGTCAAGACATAAGCAATTTTCAATTGTCGAAGGAAAAATTCCATTTTTCCTTTCCACCGAAGGTAATTTTTACCATCAAAAGCCTCGATATTCGGTTGAAAAACCAAAGAAACAACGTTGGATAGCAACGAAGATGAAGCCATTGGAGAGAAAACTATCTTCAAATTGTTGGAACCAATATATTAAAACGGGGAATATCGAGGCTTAAAGGCGCGTAATCACTTTTTGAAGATAGTTGAAGCCTCTCCCACGTGCAACGGAAGACAAATGGCAGCACTATCTCCGGGATTTGACTAAGCCCAGATATCAAAACTGTATGTTCATGAAGGTTGCACTTCTTCTTCATGAACCTGTGTATTTATCTCCGTCTGATCAACAGAAAATGTGAAACTTACACACTCAAACTCAATAGTTTGAAAACATTTTTTTTTTTGTTTCAAATTTCTTTTTCTCTCTTACTTGAATTGAGAGTGTGTGATTTCTAGGCTTCGTATGCCATACTATTTATAGTAAAATATAAGAGACATAATTAAATAAAGTATTTAATATAACTTTAAACTTAACTCATAAATAACATATTAATATAGTTGATTTAATTGCATCAGGTGAAGATCATTTGAGTTAGAAAAAATACTTTATGTCTTCGTAAGTAAATAGTAAAGTCAAAACTTAAAGCCTTCATAAATATAGAGTTGCTAAAAATTAATTTGAAACATAACTTCAACATGAGCATGTATAAAAAATTAATTGACCAAACTTATGATCAAAAAGTAAAATTCAGATAATAAAAAGAAAAGCTAATAAGTCTGTAGAGAATGAAAAGCTGATTGAGAGAGAAAATTGTTGATATACATTACCATGAAAAGCTTGTATTCTCGAAACTTAATTTTAAAATTGGGAGTGTTATTCAGAGGAGAGTCGCCACATTAAATAAAAATTCAACTATAAAAGTTGTAATTAATGCTTTTTTTTTCTTATTTATTTGAAATTATAAAACTTCAACTTTTAAGACTAAATTACCCTTTAAAATTATTTTTCTCTTTCTTTTTCTATCATGAAACAAATTTAATTGAAGTAATATTCTCTTTGCGACTGTGAATAGCACAGCACTCCTCTTAAGATCGGTGAAGAGAGAGAAAAAGGTGAGAGTTAAATTGGTGGGAGTAATTAATGAGGGCAAGATGGTTATTTTAAATAGTTAATATTTTGGAATAAAAGGTATTAAAAAATTAGGGGTAAAATTGTCTGTTCGTATATTTTTAACGGTGTCAGTGATGAAAAAGTAAATTTAGGCTTAAATTATTAATTTTCGAAAGGTATATATATATGTAATATTTGTTCATATTTCAGGAGGTGTCATTGAAATTAATCATAACTTAAAAGGGTTTAAATATTAAAATGAAATAGTAACAGCAGGAGGAGGTCCATAACGAGAAGCCCAAAACAAAGCCCTTGACTTATACGTAAGGAAAACGAGCTTTCAATAGTTGTGTAACGTGTAGTACGTAATTGAGAGAACTAAGATTAATTAGTTATAATTTTATTTAAACAGAGACGGGTACTGATTATTGGCGGGTTTTTATGTTTAGAGAGACATACAGAGGAGAGTGACCGACACGCAGGAGGACTGGTGAGCGCAGACACGGATCTACAACGAGCTCAGTATGTTCCATCTGCTCGAAATTTTTTATTATTACATTTTATACTTTTAAATTTATATATTTTTATACTTATGTCTACAAAATTTTAAAATTATCACCCCCTTAAAATTATAAAAAAATTCCTTTATATAAGTAAAAATTTTCCAACTGAAATTATAAAAGAATCCCTCTCATATGCGTGAAAATGAAAGTAACAAAGAAGGTTGAACTGTTGGTGAAGGCGATCAACAAGCTCAGGAGTGAGGTGGTGTATTCCGACAGCTCCATTCCAAAGGGGATTGTTCGAGTTCATACTTACCCTGAGGATGAAGCTTCGCTCAACAAGATGATGAAGCTCGCGAACACGACGATGGTTCAGGCCATGTCTCTAATGGCAGCTGACATCCACACCAATTACTTGGGTAAGGAAACTACCCTCCAATTGCTGCGAAATGGCGAAGCCAGCTGTGGTTCTTCCCACCCATAGATTCGGAGGTTCTAGTTTTATCTCTCTCTCTCTCTCTCTCTCTCTATATATATATATATATATATCTATATATATATATATATAACATAGGGTTTATGTTCTTCAGTAGCAGGGAAGAAGGGAATGTGTATGTATGTTTGGTTGTTTTTGGTACTTTAGTCTATGTTAGTGTTTACGATGGTGGTGGTACTTGTTAACTCTGTTCCTCATTTAGTTACATAGCAATATAGCATCATCTATTATGTGATCTATGTTTTTGATGGATTGGTATTGTGATTTTAATTTTCCTTTTGTTTGTTGGTTGGGTTTATGCTTGTTTGAATTTTTAGGGTTTTTGACAGACTTTTTCTTGTTCTTGAGTGAGTTGAGTGCGGGACGTCATGCATCCGCATAAATTTGGGCAAAGAAAGGTTTAAGGTGGTTTTAGCATGATAAATGTTTGATAAAATGCCCACTAGTAGTCCGTGTTTAATAGTAATGATTTAATTTTATAACATTAATCTCCAGCTCAAGTTAACATGGAGTATCTTGCTTTTGTTGGTACACTATCACTATATCTGTTGCTTGATTAACTCTCAAGGTGCAGAAGGACTGTATTGTTTATGAGGTGCAATACTGCAATATTGCTGAGATTGAGGGTGAGGAGGACGAAGACTATAAATACTATAAATTCAAATGATTTGTTTTGTATGCTATTACTTTGGCAGAATTATATTTTCCTTTTAGTTTGGGGTTTTTTGTACTTCTTTGAACTTGGCTCTTTCTTGTGTACTGATAACTATAAGCCTGCGTTGGCTTGATGCTGCCGTATTTGGTTGTGCTTTGCTTTATCCATCTTCACAATATCTGGTATTACTATAGGTAATAGGTATGAGTGCATCCCAGAAGTTCATACTAAGGCATAACATCGTTTATATATGGTGGCATTAAATACGTTCAGTAGAGTACTAGCTGGCTAGAACAATATGCACATGTATTGCCAACATATAATATGATAGCCATTTGGAAATTTGTGATTATTGTTTTACAGTCATGGGTGACTTAATAGGAGAAACTGGGGTTGCAGTGCCATTGACACCCATACTGCCATTGAAAGTGCAAAAGAGTGTCCCTTGCACGCGGATCAAACCAAGGAGACTGCTGACAAGTCCAAGTTATGCTTCGGCCGATTGGGGTGGGAATAAAAAAGGAGAGATTTTAAGGCCATGGTTGTTGTGATGGTAACTAGAAGATGATTGCAACAATACATTTCTCTAAGGACGGAAAGCGAGCAAGCGTACCAAATGAATCCTTTGTAATAAAGAAGTACAGAAGGAGTCTCCTCTCCAAAAAAGGCCTGTCACCAGGAGAAGATTCTTTGGACAATATGTTGTTAAGTTGGAAACTGATACTTGCAGTGGGTTCTCTTCATTTACCCAATTTAAGGGCAAGGAGAGACCATGTTACTGCAGTTTTTATTGACTAACTTTAAAAGTCTCTCTGTCTCTCTCTGTCATACACACACACACACAGGGGGGAGTGGAATTTAAATTATCTCCATATAAGTCAAGAGGGGCAAATTTTCACTATGTAATGCAGTCTATCACCATTAAGCATGCCATCTTTGTGGGCTTCACCCTACAACCCAAATCTACTGCCGGCCTGTTAGCTTCATTGACATGCATCTTCTAGAGGTAATTGCTCAGAAATCGCATATACTTATATATACTTTGAAGTTTGAAGTATCCTTCAGTACTTTGGCATTCTTTTGCAACCTGCAACCTTTTATGACTATCCCTCAATTAAGTCTTACTTTTGTAGCAGCAAACTGTCTGTATATATACAATGATATGCAAAAAACACTTCAGGGTTAGTTCAAGTGTTTGCTATATCTTTATGTATGATTATACTTATAAAAAATATATATCTTTATGTATGATTATAGGAATTGTGATCACTTATATTATTATAGGACTTATTTTAGATATTCTAGAAATTTAGAGGGTGTTAAGTTGTTAACATTCCTAATAACCCCTTTTCCAAAAAGGACTGGTACATAGGTCTCTAGCTCTTCATTAAACTAGCCTTTTCCAAACATTCCAATAATCTTGTGCAACCAGTTGGATTTGCTTATAGTTCTGGTTCTTTTTTGATCAGAATATGCTGAATGGCGACAATGCTTGGTTTTGACATATAGAGCAGTATTCCATATCTTGCTTGAATATCCATTAGCTGAATTTGAAAAACAATCAATTCAATAGGTTAGCCACTAACATGAGTGTAGTCCATGATTAGGCAACTTGCAAGAGAACAAAAATGTAAATCAACTGACCTTGATTGTGCGACTGATAATGTGCAGGAATGGCTCAGAACATGTGGATGTGGACCAAGATATGTGATCCCATGGAGAAGGCAAGTTGAATTGAAATGAATACTTGTTCATTCCAAGTCTTCTACTCAAGCAATTGGTATTTTTTTTTAATCTGAGTTTCTCATTTTTTTCCCTTCGAAAAAGTAAAGAAGGGTTTGCACCATATTGTTCAGTGAATTGGGACAACTTAAAAGCTATAGAGTCTGAAGAGGCAGTTGTGCCTCTTAAACATGATCATTCCAAGCCCCATTCAAAATTGTCCAGACTATTTCTCACCCCAAAGAATACTCGACCAATAAAAATATTATCTCAAAGAGTTATGTTATTCTAATCGGCTCTACATGTGAGGGTCTATATATATATATAAGTCCGTGCATGACTGGACCCAAGTGGGAAAGGGAAAAGAAAATTAACTGTAAAAAGAGGACTATAAAGGTAAGAGAATTAATTTTATCAAATAATAAACAAATTGCAGGATTAACTTCTTGATGTGAAATGAACTAGATTGGTTGTGTTTTGAAATTATGTACTCCATATGTGTGTTTAGGAGTTCTATTTTTGGCTTTCTGTAAAAAATATTGTAGACTTTTGTACATTTTATCTATCCTTTAATTGCAAAGTAGAGTTTTGTGTGGCCTGTGGTTGTTATTCCATATGATAGCATATGCTATCTTTTTGTGGAAAAATGTGTTACTACTAGTTTTGTTACTCAATCCATGGGGATTATAAACCTTGATCAGTTGTTGGCCAAGTATCCACCTCTTTTTCTCTCCATATCCATCAGCACTCTCTGTATACATCCTTACAGTTGTTTGAATGAATAGAAATAGGCAAGAAAAGTCATTTGTTGCATTCTGAATTTCTGAGTCTTCCTTTCCAGTCCCAGTTGCTTGCTTTTGTGGTATTACTGAATACCTCAGATCGTTATATATAGGGTGTGTGTGTGTGAATTTATTCCACTTTCATTTGTTACTTTTTTTCCTAGTTAGTATAGCAGACTACAACCTTTGGTGCTCGTTTGTTACTAGTATTGTATTTGTAATATTGTAGACTGATGTCAGGGAGATAACTTATTTGTGATTAATTGCTTATTATGTCACCATCAAAGTTCACAATTCATGACAACAGTTAAAGCATGTTCAGACTTAATGCATAGATAAAAGCAAATACCAAAGATGATCTTATGTTTGCATAAACTAGTGGACTTAACAAAATATTAAAGCTTAAAGCACAAACTAATCGATCAAGCTTCTTCAACTATCTGCTCTACATTTTCTATAAAACAACAATGCCAAGAAAGAAGCAAAAGCTAAGCATAGCATTGGAAGTACAGATACTAGTAAGTTAATACCAGGCAGTGTTGAATATAGCTCTAAGAAGATTCTGAATCCCTTACTACTAGTTACTATCAGGTCTAACAGCCTTTGTGCTTCTGGGAAAGCCAACTGAGAGCCAATTGAAGAAGCACAACACAATATAACAACCAAGAATTATGTTTACAATCATCTTCCCTGTGGATTTACTATCAGCGAGAAGATTGCATCCGGGCTGTCCTTACCATTGTCACTCTCCTCTTCAATGCTTAACAATTTTGTATGCATAACATAAGCATTATTTGCCTTCTGTTCTGCCACCAGGTTAGGTCGATCAGGATTGAGCTGCAACTGGAGTGCAAATTCAAGATTCCAAAGCACAGCACCCATCGAAGGCCTATCAATGCCTTGATCAGACAAGCAATTCACAGCTGCTTCTGCAAACTTTTGCAAGCAATTGCAATTAATCTCTTCCCTGATACACGGATCAATGATTGTCTCAAGAATTCCCTTCTTGTGGCAGCTCAATGCCCAATCTGCAAGACTAACTTGTTCATGTGGAAGGCTTGAGTTAAGCGCTGGCCTACCACATAACACCTCAAAAAGGACTACTCCGAAAGAATATACATCAGACTTGTCTGTCAATTTTTGCCTTCGAAAATACTCTGGATCCAAATATCCGAAGCTACCTTTCACCATTGTACTAACATGGGTTTCGTTCAGACTAGCACCTGTTCTCGAGAGACCGAAATCTGAAACTTTTGCAACCCACTTATCATCCAAAAGGATGTTTGTAGTTTTAACATCCCTATGAATGATGGTATACTTTGCACCAGTGTGAAGATAGTGAAGGCCTCTGGCAGCACCAATACATATTTCCAACCTTTGTTTCCAAGAAAGAGGAGGTTTTTTGCTGTTATAGAGATGCTCTCTCAGAGTTCCATTGGCCATGTAATCATAAACCAAAATCATCTCATGCTCTTCTTCGCAAGCACCAATCAGAGAGACCAAATGCCTATGTCTCAGCTTCGAAAGCAAATCGATTTCAGTTTGGAACTCATGAACTCCTTGTTCTGAAGATGGGTTTGACCTCTTAATGGCAACTTTAATCCCTCCATCAACTATGCCTTTGTAAACTTTCCCGAATCCTCCAACACCAATAACTTGGGACTCATTGAAATTCTGAGTTGCAAGTTTTATCTCCGGCAAGGAAAAATGTCGACAGAGAGCTCCACCTAGAGTTGAAAGGCTTTTACTGCCATTTGATTTAGGTGCTGATGAGTATGAGCTGCCATAGAGTGGCAACCAACCAGCTATGCTGGACTTCTTTCCATTGTCTATGCGCTTTTTATGCTTGACAAAAACTATGATTGCAAGAACTAGAGCACCACCAGCCACCCCTCCTCCAATCCCACCAATTAAGGCGCTTCTGCTGTAGGACTGTGATTTCGCAAAAGACCTCTCTTCTTCGCGAGACAAGGCCTTTTGAAGCATTGGCGATGGCACAGGGTTTGGCCCCGCCAAGTTCCCATCCGTGTCATTGATCTTGAAGATCTCCAATCCATTGAGAATTGCATCATAGAATTCAGGATTCATCGATAAAGAAGGGTGAAGAGCCACCCATAATTCCCCATTTTTGTCGTTGACATGAGTTGCAAAATCCTTGTACACTGGCACTCCCATTGACCCTGCCCACGCAATCACATCAGCAGATTGTTGTGCTGTCTGGTTGTTGATAAAAATATCGAACACCCTCTGGTTAATCTTCGAAACCTGGTAGTCGCAGAAATGGAATCTCACAACATATGTAAAATTTGCATCAACCTGGAATACCCATGTCAGGTTGTAGTTCTGATTAACTCGGGGATCAATACCCATTGTTCTCGCGGTGCTGTACACATCAGCAGGAGCAATGTACTTGGGTACATTGGCAGGATACCGAATTGTGACATTCTTGTCTGCTTCAGAGGTGACACCAGAGGCTGCACCGTATAAATATGGCGAGTCATCATACCATGTTCGGCTAAGTGATGAATCATTGTTTGCCGGTATGTACTGCCCACCAACATTTAGTCTAAACATAGTCTGCAATGCAGAGTGATTTGCATCTATGAACTGTGCCGAAAACCCAACCATAGGTACTGATTGAAAAATTTCGGGCATGGAAATAATCTCAATGCCATTGATGAAAGCGTAGGAATCATTGTCCAGCGAGGAAGGGGTGAAAGTGACAGTGAGAGAATCAGATTGGATTGGTGGGACAGAGAATTCTCTGATGATATAAGCCTGTGTGAGGGCTTGGGCTGTGATTGAGGCACTGAAATTGCTGAGAAGTGTGTAGTCGTTGATATTAACATTGAAAAGAGCAATGGAGGGATCGAATTTGCTGTAAGAAGATGGATAGAAATGGAGTCTCACCCAATGGCGTGTCTTGGGAGAAATGCGGAATTTGTATGTAAATTCAGATGTGAAAATTCTGGCATTCATGTAAGGAATTGTGGAAGGCAATGAAGGATCTTGGTATTTAGCTTTGGCCGGAATGGAATCCGCAGAAGAGAGGAACTTGGAATCCGGAATCCAATTCCGGCCATCGGAGTCTCTTGCCTCACTCGTGACACCACAGGTCAAAACAAAGGAATCAGGATTGGACTCAGAGCTGTTGGTTGATGAAGAATGGATAGTGTTTATGATGAAATAAAAGCAGATTATAAAAAACAAGATATGGGTACCAAAGTTCATACCTAAAAGAAAAGACCCGTTTGAGGGAATTGAGAAAAAGTGAGAAAAAATGTGGCCTACAGGAAAACAGATCCAAGAGGAAATGAGAGAAAATGTCTGTTTTCCTGTACACCTGGGAGGTGGGTGTTCTAATTCAGTAAATACATTAATCTAAACCATATTTCATGTGCATTAAAATGCAGAGATTCTCAAACTAACCTCGATTATTCATTGATTGAACAGGTTGAAACAGAGGAAAACCAAGAAGCCAGATTTGGGTGTCCATTTGTGTTCGTGTTTCATAGGTAAGAAGTTGGTTAGAGAAGAACGGTAACGTTAATGGGTTTTTGATGGGATTAGTTATTAGTTGTTTTGAAACGACTGGGGCTTCCTTTAAATATGGCGCCACCAACTGCCGTTTCTTTAGCTCTTGTTACCAAATAGTAACTTCACATTGATTAGACAAGTTGTGATCCCTACACTCCAACCTTGCATTTTCAATGTTCCCACCATTTATTTTTTTATTTATTTTCATTTGACAATATTTTGAGGGACGGTATGAAATTAATATTTTAAAATTGAAATTAGTGAAAAAAAACTCAAACATTGAACCAATTTTTTTTTCTCCTTAATTTTTTGAAGTCGAGCACACTCTAAAAACAAAATAAATAAGTCTTTCTTCAGCATTAGGCATGAGAAGAACATGTTAACCTTTAATTTTTATAGTCGTGGAGGAATAGGGGGCAACTCTTAACACTATGAACATGAGTTTGTGCATCAGTCACTGAATCAAGGACAAAGGGTGAGCACTTTATAACCACTTGATTCAATGGTTGAGTGCGTGATCGCACAAGGTCAGGGATTTTGTACATCAAACTATGCCGTTTTGAAACGCAACTCAAAACGGGCCACTCAGAATTTCAATGGGCTAACTTTGGACTCTGTGTTAATACGTCAAAATGACATCATTTTAGTGGTACACAGGACCTTGTTGCGGAATCATTGTTGCTGGAAAAAGTGGGCCAACACTAACATCCTGCAATTCATAACAGTCCTAGCCGTCGATGACCCAGTGACTGATGGCCCAGATCCAAAATTGAAAGAGATAAGTAGGCCCAAGTTATGTACGTAAACTCACAATCCAAAATTGGCAAAGGATTGGCACTTGGTTTTTTTCTATGTTATTCATTAATGAGAAATACAAAGGAAGCAAATTGAAAATTAAAGGATCAGTTTTAGGCTTCAAATCATTAATTGCAAATAACAAGAACAATACTCTTTATAATTTTTTTTTTTTTTTTTTGAAAAAAACCAACCACAATATAAAGACGGTTAAATTTCACACACGCAACAGAAATATAAATTTTTTTTTTTTTTTTTTTTGAAAAAAACCAACCACAATATAAAGACGGTTAAATTTCACACACGCAACAGAAATATATATATATATATATATATATATATATATAATTTAGTGGTATCTATCCTAAGGTAGAAGGTCAGGAATTAAAATTCTAAAGTGTAAAAAACAAACTGGTTGAATTTTTTTTGTCATAATTATGGTGATTTTGATATATATATATATATATATATATATATATATATATATATATATATTAGTGATCTCTTGCTCCCCATGGAGTAAGAAAATTCTTCCGCACTTTCTATAGTGAATCTAATGGTCACATTTCAAACCTATCTATATGCTTTTATTTTAATACAAAACTACTATCACTATTTTTAGTTTCCAAATTTAATATTTATCAATATAATTAATTATAACAATAAAAAGTAAGTTCTAAAAAAATAAAAATAATGATAGTATAATAATTGTACTATTAAGTAAAATAATAAGAAAAATAACTAATTTACAAAGGAAATCTGAAATTTTATAGAATAGTAGTATGTTTTGTTGTGAATCTCCTCATTAAGTCAATAAATTTTTGTTATTATAGTAGAACTAGAAAAAATATATTGTGCGACTTATTATGACAGATAAGTAATTGGAATGTGTTTACAACTAATTAGAATTTGTGACAAAGGGTGAGAGAAAAATAGATTGACTTTAGCATGCATTTAGGGAGGTATACAATAATTTAAATTGTAATATATTAATTTTTTTTATGGGTGAAGTGTTATGCAAATATATTATTTTATATTATCAACTTAGTGTTATTACATTAAGTTGATCAAGTGGATAAAAAAGTAGAGATTTTATTTTTTACTTTTTTTTTATTTTTTAGTCGATGTTTCACTGTTTTGTATGTTAATAGTATAATTTTTAATTTTTTTTACACTCAAACAACCAATGTCAATTTTAATATCAAGTCATGGATGCAATTTTTTAACACTTATAATTTGTCATGGATGCAATTTTTTAACACTTATAATTTTTTTTTTATAGAAATTTTTTTTTCAATTAGCGGTGAGATGTAATTTTGAGATTTCTATTTACTTATTTATTTTTCAGTACTTTTATTTTATTGTTATAATTAATTGTATTGGTAAATATTAAATTTAGAAACTAAAAATAATGATAATAGTTTTGTATTAATGTTTCAGAGCAAGAGCAAGAGTAAGAGATCACTACTCTATATATAATTTACAAAACAATAACAAATGTTTTTCAAATTATAAAAGAACAATCATCTAAAGATTTGAGTTGTCTCATGAAAAATTGTAAATTTGACATCTTTGCAAAATAATAACAAGCAATTAAGTACATCAAATTAGTGCAGAAATTCAACATCAATTACAAGTTTAAATTAGAAAACTGGATTGTTCATTAGGCTTGTCTCTCTCTCTCTCTCTCTCTCTCTCCTTAGAAAATAATCTCCTTTATACCACCGATGATAAAATCATATACTACGTACTATGAATTTTAAATATACGAAATATATATATATATATATTAAGAATTTTTTTATATTTATTTTTATTTTAAATTTTCAAAATGACATGTGCCATCTTGCCAACTCCTTACCTTTTGCCGTAATTAGGAACCACTCATCTTCCACCCCTGCTACCCCACAATTTTTTTTACTCTCTCTCTCTCTAGGATGTTACAGATATCAGTAGCATCTCTTTGGTTTACACCCCAGCTGGTGATCACAACTCTTCTCTCAAATACGATTATTTATACGTGATCTTACATGCATTTTGAATATATAAAATGATTGCACCTGGTTGGTTGTATTAATTGACCTTGTGGGGTGGGGTAATGAAGGGGTTGTTGATGTGGGGAGAGAGGCCCAACACCCTCCAAGGACTTGCGTAAATTTTCAGTTGACGATGATGAAGATCAAGCACGGTAAACATTTCCCTTTTTTTTTTTTTTTTTCAAGTTATCTCCGTTGGTAAAATTTTTTACTTAAGAGTTCATCTTTAAATTTGAGCATTGCTAGTTGTATTAAACATACTATGCATTTCTTCATGCAATTTCTTCATAACTGCAAACTTAATACTAAAATCTTAGGGGGTTCAAGTTGAGGTTCAAACTTAGTAGTATATACAATCCTTGCGGGGAACTTGATTGTTGGGGAAACAAAGAAAAAATAAAATAAAAAGATTTATGATCACCCCTCTGTTAAAAATTGTAATATTCTTTTATTTTAGAATACTAAAATATTCTTTTATATTTGTTACTTTTTCTTGCCAATAAAAAGATATGAAATGCTTTAAACATATAATAATAATCCCTAATAAATTAGGCATGGGTTCATGAGATTACATGAATTGGGCCCGTCAAAGTCGAGGTTTGAGCTTACAATGTTTAGTTATGAATGAACCTTTAACATGTTGAGTTTGAACTTAGGTTCATTTAGTCTGATTAGAAAGAGGACATCCTATTGGGGCATAAATGGTTAGAGAAAGCAATAGTCCATTATTTTAAACCACAAACAACTTGAGGTCTTTCTTCATACTTTAAATTGTCCAAATGCAGTGAGTTTGACAATTCCACTCTATTAGTATGTTGGTTATTGATACCAAAACGCACAGGGTTGGATCAGATGTCCTATTCCTAATAATGTTCGTTCTGTGGTTAATTTACCTCATTATTCTTCAGGTCAAATTGCAAAAAGATGACTGGTCATTTCATATTTTCAGTCAATTTGGTAGAAGGAAATGAACCAAGTATGTTGACACTGGACACTAAGCAAGAGATGGTTTTGCAACTGTCAGGGCAATAAAAAACCGCAGTGTCATTTTGGTTTAGTTCAACTAGATAGTCTAGATGGGAAAAGACTCATTTCATGAGTTGTTTGCTTTGCATTTTGTTATGTTCTAACTTTTTACCACCCTAGCAGAATCCAGGCGATAGTTCATTGCACTGTCTTAGGCCGTTCGAAATTGTTTGTCCTGCTATTCGTTATCACTATAGGCACGTCTCGTTTATTCAATTGTCAATTGGTATATATGTAACCTATATAAATTGTACACTTTTGTCATTAGGCACAGAGTCTTGTCCAAAGAACTTTAAAATGGGTTGGATACATCTGAGGCTCAAATCTTGAGGTTTGCCAATGCAAGAATATTGTTTTAAGTTCATGCTATGCCCTTAATTAGTTTAATTATGCTCCCTTATCCCTATCATGTGATACGTTTTCTTCAATTGGTGATTATTGCTAAAGCTCACACCTTTAATGGATTGCAAGAAGTGGGACTTCTCCAAAAATCCATTTGGTGCTTATAGCCTCCTCTTCCTTTGTTTTTGTCCGTCTATTTTTGAAGTACCGTTTGTTACTTCTGTTTATTCGATTATGGTGGCTGTGGAAAGAAGGTTGGTATTATCAGTCTCTATCTCCTATCATCTTAGTAGCTTAAGTTTTCATCACAACAAACCCATAATTTTACAAACTCAGGTATACCAAAAATTTGAACCATATTTCAATTTCATGGAGACAGAATACACAGCGGGTAGACCAAACTTGAAGTAGAATTGGGTGGGATTTAAAGACCAAACTTGAACTAGAATTGAGTGGGGTGCGCCTGGCCAAGGCAATAGTGCAACACCAAGGCGACACAAGGGGCCCCCAATAGCAAGCTACTGTGGTGGACCCTCCCCCTAAAAAAATTAATTTAACACCGTGTGGGCCATTGGCCCACGTATCAGATATTAAACTGATAAGAACAGATACTACACTTGATCTTAGCCAAAAGGCCGAGAAAGGTATGCATTTTCATATGGTGGGCCTCTCCTTTTATGACCAGTTGCTCTTTCACACTTTCCTTTCAAAATCAATGTGGGACTAGAACTAACCAGAATGTTCAGCAAACAGACTTCACTAGGTTTGAATTATTGACTTGCAGAGCATACCTTTGGCCGTCAGGTCTCAAGGTTCCTTCGAATAGCAGTCCTTGAAAAGTAGGATAGTGGAGGATGAGAGAAAGACCTTTTATTCTTCTAACCTTCATAACCACTGAACTAAATTCAGGTGTCAAAAGACCTCCTAACATGCGAAGTAACTCATTGATTTGGCTTGTGTTTGTCTCTAGTTTTAGTTCCATAAACTTTTCATGATTGAGTTTACATTGTTTTTTCCAATAACTAGCCAATGGAACCATCCTGGATATGTTTTGAAACTTTTTTTGCGCAAGTCTTTCTAGCTGTTGATTTCATCTGTCAATTCCTGTCTTCATAATTTATTGTGGGAAGCTTTAGCATAGTAAAAAATGATAGCTATCCAAATTTGGTCAGAAGATAATCCAGATTTTCAATCAGTAAGTCGCTATATAATACAGTCAAGCAGGGTAAATAATTATTCATACCCACTGCAATAGGAATATAATTTTGTGGTGAACCAATGCATTGCAAAAACCTGAAATTCATCAGAAATTGTGACAAACCCTCAGGATTTGTGCATAAAAATATAATGGATTACCTTTATAATTTTCCATTAGTTACTTTCTTACTTTTTATTGTGTGGTTGTTTTTCTTCAGTTGCAGGTGATACTCACACCACTATCACCAAGTTTTGCTGCATGCTTCGGTTGGTGTGTTGCTTTTGGTGGCAGAAGGTTTGTCTTTTTTCTCAACAATGGGCTGTTTAGTAAAGCATTTAATTAGGTAAACTGAAGTCAGTCATTCGGAATTCCTTTTTTATGGCGTAGATAGTGAGCGTTCTCAAAGTAGATGTGAGACATTAAAACAACTGTGTGGAAATCATTATTACAGTTCTTAAACTATGTCTTCAATGGTCTTGAAGTCTCAAATTCAAAAAAGGCCCACACAAAGAACAATAAAGCATAGGTCATAAAGTTAAACTAGATTTGGGTGGGGTGCGCCAGGCCAAGGCAATAGTGCAACACCATGGCGACGCGCAAGGACCCAGTAGCAAGCTACTGTGATGGACCCTTCCCCTAAAAAAATAAATTTAATATCGTGTAGGCCATTGACCCACGTATCAGATATTAAACTGATAAGAACAGATACTACACTTGATCTTAGCCAAAAGGCCGAGAAAGGTATGCTTATTCTAATGTTGGGCCTCCTCTTTTATGGTTATCTGCTCTGTCACCCTTTTCCACTCAGAATCAATGTGGGACTAGAAAAACCAGAATGTAAAGCAAACAGACTTGCTAAAATCTCATCTTAAGTCTTCACTAGGCTTGAACTGCAGACTCACAGGGCACCTCTGGGCCCAACTAAGGTCTAAGGTTCTTCAAAAATCATTCATTGAAAAGTAGGATACTGAAAGATGAGATTTGTTACAATCCTCATAATACCCATACAATATAGCACACACTCGCACTTATTTTAGAATGCTTGTTGAAAAGCAGTACAATGATCTTTTTTTTTTTTTTTTTTTTTTTTTTTTTTTTTTCCTTTTGAGAGATATATATGCACACCTCCATCATTCAGGAAAGAGAACTTGGAAAACTTTAACTAACCTTCATAACCACCGAACTAAATTCAGGTGTTAAAAGACAGTTGAACATGTGAACTAGCTCATTCCTTTGTTTAGTCCCTGTGTTTGAGTTTAGTTCCCAAAGCCTATACATGATAGAGTTTGACAATTGTTTTTTAAGAATTAGCCATCCGAACCATAATGGATAAGTTATGATTTTATTTTATTTTGACCCTAAATGTAAGTCTTTGCAAGCTATCAGTTTCATATGTGAATTCCTGTCTTTAATTTTTTTGTGGGTAGCTGTAGCAAAGCACAAAATGGAGTCTAGTAAATTTATAACTAATCCAAATTTGAACAAAAGCTAACCCAAATTGCCAATAAGTTTCGCTGTCCTTTGGGTTGCTATATAATGCAGTCATGTGGTACAACTATTATTCATGTAACTACAATGGGAATGTCATTTTGTGAGGAACCAATTCATAAAACCTGAAATTTGTCGCAATAATCATTTTGTGACAACCCTCAGGGCTTGTGCATACAAATACCATGATTTATGTTATTTTTTCCCCTAAGTTTAATTTTCTGTTCGACACTTATTCTTATCATGTACTATAGGTTTTCTTCAATTAGTGAGTGGTGCTAATACTTGCATCATTATTATCAAGATCACTGCATGCTTCAATTGGTGGTGTTGCTTATGGTGGCTACACAAAGAGGGTTAGTCTTATTTTCTCCATTCATGGCCTGTTTGGTAAAGTTTTTAAACTAGATAATCTGGATTCTGAGTCATTCATCCTTTGAGCTCCCCCCTGAAAAAAATAATCATATTAACATTTGGTATTGAACTAAACTGATAAAAACAGACGGTACATTTCCCTTTCCCTTTTCTCTTAAGGTTGATGTGACACCAAAATCAAACCACAGATGTTATGTTGACCATTAAAGCAGAACTGCAATAGTTTTTATGTTTTGAGTGGTAACCGCAAAGCACATTCAAGCACCTCCGCAACCCATACCTGAACTTGTTAGTTAGTCCATAGAATTACCGATCAGTGCAAATCCAGATTTTCTACTTTATAGCGTAACCCTTAATTATTATTATGAAATGTAACCCCCTTAACCAAGATTAAATGTACTTTGATTTGATTTGGAGTGCACCAAGCCTGGCAGTAGTACAACGAGAAGATGATGGATGGTCAAGGTCGCCAGTATATGACCACCAACCCCCGAGACCCAAATAAACTGGCCCTTGTATAGATACTAAACTGATAATAATAGATACTATAGTTGATCTTGGCCAGAAGTCTGAACAAGGTATGCTTTTTAATGTATTGTGTTGTCTATTTTATAGTAAATTGTTCATATTTTGAATACCAAGCCCATTTGGGATTAAAAAAAAGAAGAAGAAGAAAGAGCATTATTATTTTTTGCCTCTTCTTATTTACCTTATGGAGAAGAAAGAACATATATATCGATTTATTCTTCGTTTTGGATTTTCCTTTTAAAAATCAAATCTTAAAATTATAAGCAACATCTTGTGCAAGTGTGCAATGTGATAAAATGATCTCAATTGCTCTGGAAAAACCAATAATTTACTGACACATTTGGCAATTCATATATACGAGGCACTTCCATTCTCTAACATTTAAGTAGCTTAGGTTCTATTATCCCTATCATGTGTAGGTTATGCAAAGAAGGTTGAAGCATGGTAGAGCTTAGGTTTTTGTGTTAGCCTAAAATTTGAACTAGAATTGGTTGTGTTGTGCCTGGCCAAGGCAATAGTGTAAAACCAAGTCGACACAAAAGGGTCCCAGTAGCAAGCTACTGTGGTGGACCCTCCCCTAAAAAATTAATTTAATATTGTGTGAGCCATGGCCCACATATCAGATATTAAACTGATAAGAACAGATACTACACTTGATCTAAGCCAAAAGGCCGAGAAAGGTGTGATTTTTCACATGCTGGACCTCTCCTTTTATGAGCAGCTGCTATTCTGCCCTTTTCTCTCCAAATCAATGTGTGTCTAGAAATAACAAGAATCTTAAGCAAACAGACTTGCTCAAGTCTCTTGTCTTTGGTCTTCCATAGGTTTAAACCAGTGACTCGCAGAGCATACCTTGGGTCTTCAGGTCTTAAGGTTCCTTGAAGCTTGAAAAGTAGGATAGTGGAAGATGAGAGAACAAACTTTAAAACCTTTCATTCTAACCTTCATAAACGCTGAACGAAATTAAGGTGTCAAACCTCAAAAGAGAGCCTAACATGGGAAACCTTTCATTTTAACCTTCATAACCACTTAACTAAATTAAGGTGTCAAAATACAGCCTAACATGTGAACTAATTCATTGATTTGGTTTGTGCCTGTGTCTGGTGAAACTTTTTGTCCCAAGTATTTCCAGCTATTGATTTCATCTGTGAATTTCTGCCTTCAAAATTTATTATGGGAAGTTGTAACACAGGAAAAAATGAAGTTTGGTGATTTAATAGCAGTCCCAATTTGTCCAGATTTCCAATCAGTTTGGGCTGCCCTTTAGGTCGCTATATAATACAATCAAGTGGGGTAAATAATTATTCATACCCACTACAATAGGAATATTATTTTGTGATGAACCAATTTATTGCAAAAACCTGAAATTCATCAGAAATTGTAACCTTCAGATTTTGTGCATAAAAATAGTATGTAGAGAATGTTGTAAGTAGCCGGCAAATCCCACCTTTCTTTCCCTAAGCACCGTGAGAGAACCTGGCCGTATAAGACATGTTTGATTGCAGGTTGTGCGATTATAAGATCTCTTTTGATATAGTTAGTGAAAAGCAAGCTCTTGCTCTAGGCATGGTATCCATCTATCTATCAATCGATCTGTACGAGGAATAGAGGTGTAAACAATAAGAGTGGCTAAATGCGGTTTGCGGAGTGAATCTTTCTGAAATAGGTGCTGGATTGACAGCTTGGTCTTTTGCTTTATAGAAAGTCAATTGGTGGTAGGGGAAGATCACAGACCCTTCACGCTCTGGGCATCGAGAGGATAGTGCAATCAACGAGAAAAGAGGGGAAAGAGCCGAAGATGCATAGGAGCCTTGGCTTTAAGCGGATCGGGGAGTCATGATTTAGGGAAGGTGGTTCGGAGATAACGAGAGATAGGAGATCCTCGTACCCCATTCTTATTGATACGCTTGCTCCTTAAAAAATACCCCAGTGTATAATGTTACTCAGTTGGATATATATAAAGATATAGATTCTGATAGAATTTTATAAACAAAATGAAAGTATTCACAAAATACCCCAGCGTATAATGTTACTCAATAGGATATGAAAAAAAATATAAAATATTCAATTTTCTATACTATATATGAATAAATAATATTGAATATTTTATATTTTTTTTCATATCCTATTGAGTAACATTATACGCTGGGGTATTTTGTGAATACTTTCATTTTGTTTATAAAATTCTATCAGAATCTATATCTTTATATATATCCAACTGAGTAACATTATACACTCGGGTGTTTTTTAGTTTCTTTCTTCCTTTTATTATGTGGTAGGTTTTCTTCAATTGGCAGGTGATTGCTATACTCTTACCACTGTCACCAAGTTTTTCTGCCTGCATCGGTTGGTGGGTTGCTTTTTGGTAGCTATTTGGCAGAAGGTTAGCCTTATTTTCTCAACAATGGGCTGTTTAGTAAAGCATTTAATTAGGTAAACTTGACTTCCAGTCATTCAGCCATTGAGCTCACCTCTCAAAGAATTAATCCATAAGTAGTTGGATCAAATACTAAATAAAAGCATGAGACATTAAACAACAGTGTCCATGGACAATATCTAAACACCTGTCTTGAAAATTGAACTTAATTTCAGTTTTCATTGTTTAATTTTCTTTTCCATTTCAACTTTCATTGTTTAAGAGCCATCTGTCAGGGTCCTAGGGGTCCAAATTGAAATTCAAAAAAGTTAAACTAGATTTGGGTGGGGTGCGCCAGGCCAAGGCAATAGTGCAAGGCCAAGGCGACGTACAAGGACCCCAATAGCAAGCTACTGTGATGGACCCTTCCCCTAAAAAAATTAATTTAATATCGTGTGGGCCATTGGCCCACGTATCAGATATTATACTGATAAGAACAGATACTACACTTGATCTTAGCCAAAAGGCCGAGAAAGGTATGCTTGTTCTAATGTTGGGCCTCCTCTTTTATGGTTTTTTGCTGTGTCACCCTTTTCCACTCAGAATCAATGCGGGACTAGAAAAAAACCAGAATGTTAAGCAGACTTTCTTGCTCAATCCTCTTGTCTTCAGTCTTCACTTGGTTTGAGCCGCACTTTAGGACACAATATAATACACTGTCAGTCTGAGCTGCACTTTAGGACACAATGTAATACACAGTCATTTTTATAAAGAATATTGCTCGACCCCATTAATACGAGAATGTTAGTTTCTACAACCGTTTGATTGCAAAAACCTTAAAATTATCAGGAGAACTATTTCCGTGACAAGTTGATAACTTAGAGGACTTGTGCATACAAAGATGATGTTTTTGTTCATATTTTTCCCTTAGTTTAGCTTAATTCTTATTCATACTTATTAGGTTATTCTATTCATGTGGTAGGTTCTCTTTAATTACGACATGGTTCTCTTAAATTCTTATTCATACTTATTAGGTTATTCTATTAATCTTGCTGCATGCTTCAATTGATGGAATTGCTTATGGTGGCCATGCACGGAAGGTTAGTTTTATCATCTCCAGACTCTTTTAGGTATCCTTCGATCTCTCTTTCAAAGGAAAAAAAAAATAGTATAAGCAGTTATGCTCAAGCAATATTATTATATCAAATTTAACTGATAAAAACAGATGTCTACACACACTTATCATTTTTCTCTTAGGCTCTGTTTGGTTAGGTAGAATCAACTAGAAAAGAAAGGAAAGTGAATTTTTTTTTAACTTTTTTAGAGTTTGGATAGAGTGAAAATGAAACGTTTTGGAAAATTTGAATTCTCGCAACCCGTTATTTTCCCCAAAACGTTTCCTGCCCAAAACACGCGAAAATAAAATTTTCTCATGAAAGCAATGTCTTTCTATTTTGCATTCCTATTTCATCCACCAACTATATCGATAATTGTAAGCCACCAATAATTATTTTATTTATTTTTTACTGGATTTCAAAGAATTACAAACCAATAATAACTTTATTGGTGGTAGAGTTTGAATTAACTTGGACTTCTATAAATAGTAATTTGTAAGTGTCAATTAATTGAAAACTATATCATTTTTTTTAGATATATATTACTACTAATTAATTCTTTATTATTCTACTATTTATTTTATAATTTTTATAAAATAAGAAAAATATAACATAAGGACAATTTAGGTAAGTACAAATATTTTTAGTCACTTTTATGCTCTTCAATACAATTTTCTTGAATAATTTTCACCTTAACCAAATGCATGCTAGAAAATAAATTTTCTTTTCATTCACTTCACTTTTCTTTTCATTTTCCATTTCTATCGAACCAAACGGAGCCTTAAGGTTGATGTGAGAAATCAAATCACATTGAACTGAAGAAAACAGACTACACTTGGATGCAGATTGTTGTTGACCCAAACTTTTATTGAACTACACACAGCCTTATAAGTTCACTTAAACAAGGTTATTTTTCTCTGTTATTTAAGTTGTTTTGGGCCTGTCCTCTGTTCTAGAGTCCAAAGTGGGGATCCGCAATCCACTAGTTGCTGATAGAGACCAGAAGTTTGAAGGCCCATTGAAAGAGCAAAATAATTTGTACTTGATTTGGGTGGGGTGCGCCAGGCCTAGGCAATAGTGCAACGCCAAGGTGACACGCAAGAACCCCAGTAGCAAGCTACTGTGATGGGACCTCCCCCTAAACAAATAAATTTAATATCGTGTGGGCCATTGGCCCACGTATCATATATTAAACTGATAAGAACAGATACTACACTTGATCTTAGCCAAAAGGCCGAGAAAGGTATGATTTTGCATATGTTGGCTTTCTCCTTTTATGACCAGTTGCTCTTTCACCCTTTCCTCTCCAAATCAATGTGGGACTAGAACTAACCAGAATGTTCAGCAAACAGACTTGCTCAGGTCTTTTATCTTCGGTCTTCACTAGGTTGGAATATTGACTAGCATAGCATACCTGTGGCCATTAGGTCTCGAGGTTCTTTCAAAGATCAGTCCTTGAAAAGTAGGATAGTGGAATATGAGAGAAACACCTTTTAGTCTAACCTTCAGAACCACTGAACTAAATTCAGGCGTCAGAAGACATTTTACATGTGAACTAATTCATTGATTTGGTTTGTGTCTGTCTCAGGTTTTAGTTCCATAACCTTTTCATGATTGAGTTTATACATTGTTTTTCCAAGAACTAGCCAATGGAACCATCCTGGATGTGTTTTGAAACTTTTTGGCCCAAGTCTTTCTAGCTGTTGATTTCATCTGTCAATTCCTGTCTTCATAATTTATTGTGGGAAGCTTTAGCAGAGTACAAAATGATAGCTATCCAAATTTGGTCAAAAGATAATCCAGATTTCCATTCAGTAAGTTAAACTAGATTTGGCTTGCATAGCATACCTTTGGCCTTCAGGTCTCGAGGTTCCTTCAAAGATCAGTCCTTGAAAAGTAGGATAGTGGAAGATGAGAGAAACACCTTTATTCTAACCTTCATAACCACTGAGCTAAATTCAGGCATCAGAAGACATCCTAACATGTGAACTAATTCATTGATTTGGTTTGTGTCTATCTCTGGTGTTAGTTCCATAACCTTTTCATGATTGAGTTTATACATTGTTTTTTTCCAAGAAATAGCCAATGGAACCATCCTGGATATGTTTTGAACTTTTTGGCCCAAGTCTTTCTAGCTGTTGGTTTCATCTGTGAATTCCTGTCTTCATAATTTATTGTGGGAAGTTTTAGCAGAGTACAAAATGATAGCTATCCAAATTTGGTCAAAAGATAATCCAGATTTCCATTCAGTAAGTCGCTATTTAATACAGTCAAGCAGGGTAAATAATTATTCATACCCACTGCAATAGGAATATAATTTTGTGATGAACCAATTCATTGCAAAAACCTGAAATTCATCAGAAATTGTGACAACCCTCAGGATTTGTGCATAAAAATATTATGGATTACATTTATAATTTTCCCTTAGCTTTTTTCTTACTTTTATTGTGTGGTAGTTTTTATTCAGTTGCAGGCGATGCTATACTTGCACCACTATCGCCAAGTTTTGCTGCATGCTTCGGTTGGTGGGTTGCTTTTGGTGGCTATTTGTCAGAAGGTTAGTCTTACTTTCTCAACAATGGGCTGTTTAGTAAAACATTTAATTAGGTAAACTGGACTCAGTCATTCAGCCATTGAGCTCACCCCTCAAAGAAGATCAATCAATATTTGATTATCATTAATCTAAACACCTGCGTTGAAAATTACACTTCTTAAATATTGAAATATTGATCCACCCTGTGTTGAAAAATTACACCACTTAAACTATGTCACACCTGTCTTGAATGGTCTTGGTTGTACAACTTGACCCATGGTCATGAAATTGTGAAGTGGAAAGCCCACACAATACAAAAGACCAATAAAGCAAAGTCCAAAAAGTTAAACTAGACTTGGGTGGGGTGAGCCAGGCCAAGGCAATTGTGCAACACCAAGGCGACGCGCAAGGAGCCCAGTAGCAAGCTACTGTGATGGATCCTTCCCCTAAAAAAATTAATTTAATATCATGTGGGCCATTGGCCCACGTATCAGATATTAAACTGATAAGAACAGATACTACACTTGATCTTAGCCAAAAGGCCGAGAAAGGTATGCTTGTTCTAATGTTGGGCCTCCTCTTTTATGGTTATCTGCTGTGTCACCCTTTTCCACCCAGAATCAACTTGGGACTAGAAAAAACCAGAATATTAAGCAAGCAGACTTGCTCAAATCTCATCTTCAATCTTCACTAGGTTTGAACCGCAGACTCACAGGGAACCACTGGGCCCGACTAAGATCTCAGGTTCCTTCAAAAATCATTCATTGAAAAGTAGAATACTGGAAGATGACAGTTATTACAATCCTTATAATGTTCGTACAATATAGCACACACTCGCACTTATTTTAGAATGGTTGTTGAAAAACAGTACAATGATACTTTTTTCTGAGAGATATATGCAAACCCACATCAGTCAGTAGAGAGAACATGGAAACATTTAACTTACCTTCATAACCGCTGAACTAAATTCAGGTGTTAAAAGACAGTTAAACATGTGAACTAGCTCATTCCTTTGGTTAGGCCCTGTGTTTGGGTTTAGTCCCCAAAGCCTATAAATGATAGAATTAGACAATTGTTTTTTAAGAATTAGCCATTGGAACCATAGTGGACAAGTTCTGATTTTTTTTTTTTGGCCTAACTGCAAGTCTTTGAAGCTATCAGTTTCATGTGTGAATTCTTGTCCTCAATTTTTTGTGGGTTGTTGTAGCAAAGCACAAAATGGAGTCTAGTAAATTTATAAATATCCAAATTTGAACAAAAGCTAATCCAAATTGCCAATAAATTTGGCTTTCCTTTGGGTCGCTATATAATGCAGTCAAGTGGCAGTGGTATCATTTTGTGAGGAACCAAATAGTTGCAAAAACCTGAAATTTGCCACAATAACCATTTTGTGACAACCCTCAGGGTTTGTGCATACAAATACCATGTTTTTTTTTTTCCTAAAGTTTAATTCTGTTTCATACTTATTCTTATCATGTACTATAGGTTTTCTTCAATTAGATCAATCAAAGGTAGCGTCAGCGATAGGGAGTGGTGCTAATACTCACATCATTACTATCAAGATCACTGATAAAAAGAGATGATACATTTCCCTTTCCCTTTTCTCTTAAGGTTGATGTGAGACCAAACCCAAACCACAATTGTTATGTTGACCATGTTAAGCAGAACTGCAATAGTTTTTATGTTTTGAGTGGAAAGTTGAAACCACAAAGCACATTCACAAAGTCAGATAAAATTTTAAGCAACATCTTGTGCATGTGTGCAATGTGATAAAATGATCTCAATTGCTCTGGAAAAACTAATAATTTCTGCTAACGCTATACAAAACACAATTTGAAAGATTCAATTCATATACATGTGTTACATTTGGCATTAGGCATGAAGTGTTGTCTGAAGAACTTTAAACTGGGTTGGATATATCTTAGACTCAAACCTAATAACGCTCAGACCTTTAAAGGATTGTAAGAAGGCACTTTATCCTTATGCAAAGGTCGGTTCTCTTAACATTTATAGGTTTTCATCACAACAAACACAACTTTACCTCAGGTTACATCACCACCAAGATGATGATCAGGTTCACCAGCTTGCTACTTTAGGTAACCGACCCTCCCAAGACTTACCTCCCCTAAACTTTTAAACAAAGGCACTGTAATTTTAAAACCAAACTTGAACTAGAATTGGGTGGGGTGTGCCTGTCGTGGACCCTCCCCCTTAAAAAAATAATTTAATATCGTGTGAGCCATTGGCCCACGTATCAGATATTAAACTGATAAGAACAAATACTAGACTTGATCTTAGCCAAAAGGCCGAGAAAGGTATGCTTTTTTCACATGCTTACGTTTATAATTTTCCGATGCTATACTCGTAGCACTGTTACCAAGTTTTGCTGCATGCTTCGGTTGGTGGGTTGCTTTTTGGTGGCTATTTGGCAGAAGGTTAGTCTTGTTTTCTCAACAATGTGCTGTTTAGTAAAGCATTTATGAGGTAAACTGGAGTTCCAGTCATTCAGCCATTGAGTTCATCCCTCAAAGAATTAATTGGATCAATTACTAAATAAAAACAGTTGGATGTAGGAGTCCAAAAGAAATGTTATGGATTGAAGAGCTATCATCTGTCATGGTTTGCAGGGTACCCAAGGGTCCAAATTGAAATTCTAAAAAGTTTAACTAGAATTGGGTGGGATGCGCTAGGCCAAGGCAATAGTGCAACCCCAAGGCAACACACAAGGACACCAATAGCAAGCTACTGTGAAGGAAATCCCCTAAAAAGATTAATACCCACGTATCTGTCACCCTTTTCCACTCATAATCAATGTGGGACATAAAAAACCAGAATGTTTTTAAGCAAACAGACTTGCTCAAGTCTCTTGTCTTCAGTCTTCACTAGGTTTGAACCCCAGAATCACAGGGCACCCCTTGGGCTAACTAAGGTCTCAGGTTCCTTCAAAGTAGTGTCATTGAAAAGTAGGATACCGGAAGATGAGATTTTTTCCGATCCATATAATGCCCATGCAATATAGCACACACTCATGCTTATTTCAAAATGCTTGTCGAAAAACAGTACAATTATACTTTTTCTGGGAGATGTATACACACCCCCATCAGTCAGGAGAGAGAGAACTTGGAAACCTTTAACTAACCTTCATAACCACTGAACTAAATTCAGGTGTTAAAAGACAGCCAAACGTGTGAACTAGCTGATTCCTTTGGTTAGTCCCTCCGTTCAGGTTTAGTTCCCATAGCCTATACATGATTGAGTTTGACAATTGTTTTTAAGAATTAGCCATCAGAACCATAGTGGATAAGTTATGAATTTTTTTTTGGCATAAATGCAAGTCTTTGCAAGCTATCAGTTTCTTGTGTGAATTCATGACTTCAATTTTTTTGTGGGAAGCTGTATCAAAGCACAAAATGGAGTCTATTAAATTTATAAGTGTCCAACTTTGAACAAAAGATAACCCAAATTTCCAATCAGTTTGGCTGTCCTTTGGGTCGCTATATAATGCAGTCAAGTGGTACAATTATTATTCACGCAACTTAAGTAGGAATGTCATTTTCTGAGGAAACAATTCATTGCAGAATCCTGAAATTTGTAGACATAACAATTTTGTGACAACTCTTGGGGTTTGTGCATACAAATACCAATTTTTATGTTCTATATTCTTCTTTTCGCTTAGTTTAATTCTGTTTCATACTTATTCTTCTTATGTAATAGGTTTTCTTCAAATGGTTAGTAGCACTTATACTCGCATCATTATTGTCAAATTCACCTCATGCTTCAATTGGCGGTGTTGCTTATGGTTGCTATGCTAAGAAGGTTAGTCTTATTTTCTCCTTTCATAGCCTGTTCTTAAATTAGATAATCCAAATTTTCAGTCATTCAGCCTTTGAGCTCCCCGTCAAAAAAAACTAATCATATTAGCATTTGGTAATTGAACTAAACTGATAAAAATGGACGACACTTCCCTTTACTTTTTCTCTAAGGTTGATGTGAGACCAAAGCCAAACCACAATTGTTATGTTGACCATGTTAAGCAAAACTGCAATAGTTTTTATTATTTAAGTGGTAACCACAAAGCACATTCAAGCATGGCAGTAGTGCAACACCCAAATAAACACCCAAATAAAGTGGCCCTTGTATGGATACTAAACTGATAATAGTAGATACTACAGTTAATCTTGGCCAGAAGTCGGAACATGAGGCAAAAATTCGCCTCTTTTTATGATGAAAGTTTTAGATGAATAATATAACCAAGCGAGAAGTTCAAACAAGAATTTCATTGTACTGATTTGGTCCTTTGTTGAAATTGAAATTAATGTAGAAGGCCCATTGTAGACAAAGAAAGCAAAGAGTCAAAAAAGTTGGACTAGATTTGGGTGGGGTGCGCCAGGCCAAGACAATAGTGCAACACCAAGGCGACGCGCAAGGACCCCAGTAGCAAGCTACTGTGAAGGGACTCCCCCTAAAAAAATTAATTTAATATCGTGTGGGCCATTGGCCCACGTATCAGATATTAAACTGATAAGAACAGATACTACACTTGATCTTAGCCAAAAGGCCGAGAAAGGTATGCTTATTCACTTGTTGGGCCTCCTCTTTTATCACCAGCTGCTCTGTCACCTTTTTCCATTTGAAACTGATGTGGGACTTCAAAAACAGCTAGAAGGTTAAGCAACACAGTATACTTTATTTCAATAGATATGCTTTTTGAAAAGCAATACAATGAAACTTCCCTCTGGGAGATATAATACACCCCCTCATAAACCACGAGTGATTCAGAAGACTCATTCTTACCTTCATAAGCACTGAATACCATGTTTTATGTTATTTTTTTCCCTAAGTTTAATTCTGTTTCATACTTATTCTTATTATGTACTATAGGTTTTCTTCAATTAGCGAGTGGTGCTAATACTCACACCATTACTATCAAGATCACTGCATGCCTCAATTGGTGGTGTTGCTTACGGTGGCTACACAAAGAGGGTTAGTCTTATTTTCTCCATTCATAGCCTGTTTGGTAAAGTTTTTAAACTAGATAATCTGAATTCTGAGTCATTCATCCTTTGAGCTCCCCCCTCAAAAAAGTAATCATATTAGCATTTGGTATTGAACTAAACTGATAAAAAGAGATGATACATTTCTCTTTCCCTTTTCTCATAAGGTTGATGTGAGACCAAAGCCAAACCACAATTGTTATGTTGACCATGTTAAGCAAAACTGCAATAGTTTTTATGTTTTAAGTGGTAGCCACAAAGCACATTCAAGCATGGCAGTAGTGCAACACCCAAATAAAGTGGCCCTTGTGTAGATACTAAACTGATAATAGTAGATACTACAGTTAATCTTGGCCAGAAGTCGGAACAAGGTATGCTTTTTAATGTACTATGTTATATTTTGAACACCAAGTCAATGACGGATAAAAGAGAGAGAGAGAGATAAGGCAAAATTTTGCCTCTTCTTATGGTGAAAGTTTTTAGATGAGTATTATTAATCAAGTTAAAAAAAGAATTTCGTTGTACTGTTTTGGTCCTTTGTTGTTGAAATTGAAATTAATGTAGAAGGCCCTTCGTAGACAGAAAGAAAAGAGTCAAAAAGTTAGACTAGATTTGGGTGGGGTGCGCCAGGCCAAGGCAATAGTGCAACGCCAAGGCGACACGCAAGGACCCCAGTAGCAAGCTACTGTGATGGGCCCTACCCCTTAAAAAATTAATTTAATATCATGTGGGCCATTGGCCCACGTATCAGATATTAAACTGATAAGAACAGATACTACACTTGATCTTAGCCAAAAGGCCGAGAAAGGTATGCTTTTTCACATGTTGGGCCTCATCTTTTATTGCCAGCTGCTTTGTCTCCCTTTTCCACTTGAAACTGATGTGGGACTACAAGCAGCCAGAATGTTAAGGAAACACACTTGCACTTATACTTATTTCAATAGATATGCTTCTTGAAAAACAGTACAATGAAGCTTCCCTCTGGGATATATACACACGCACTCGTCAATCTCAGAGAGATTAGAAGAGAGAATTTTGGAACTAAACCACTGAATAAATTATGTGTCATAAGACAGCCGGACATGTGATTGTGGGAATTGTGGTAAGGAGAAGTATGTGCCTGTGCTTGAGTTATTAGTTCTCATAACAACATTGTCTTTATGAATTAGCCATTGGTACCATCCTGGATAGATAGTGAAAATTTTCCATCCTAAATTTAATTCTTTCCACGCTAATTGGTTTCATCTGTGAATTCTCATCTTCAAAATTTATCATGCAAAGCTGTGGCAGAGCACAAAATGAAGTTTGGTATATCCATCCAAATGTGGACAAAAGATAATGTGAATTTCATCAGTCTGAGCTGCCTCTTAGGATGCAACATAATACAGAGTCATGTTTAGAAAGAATATTGCTCGAACCCACTAATACAAGAATGTCAGTTTCTTACAACTGTTATATTGCAAAAACCTTAAAATAGTCAAAAGAACCATTTTGTGACAAGTTGATAACCCCTAGGACTTGTGCATACAGAGATGATGTTTATGTTCATATATTTCCTTAGTTTAGTTCTTCTTCATACTTATTTGGCTATTCTTTTCCTATGATAGGTTTTTTCCAATTACAACATGGTGGTAATACTCACACCATTATCAACAAGAAGTTTGCTGCATGCTTCAATTGGTGGAATTGCTTATCGTGGCCATGCGCGGAAGGTTAGTTTTATCATCTTCATCAGTGGACTGGACTGTTTTAATTGAGCATTTAGTTAGGCTACATAACCCGGATGCCAATAATCCCAGTCATTCATCCTTTGATCTCTCCTCCCAAAAAATTAATCGTATAAGCAGTTGGCTCAAGTCATATATATCAAATTTAACTGATAAAACATATGGCTACACATATCTATGCTTTTTTTAAGGTTGATGTGAGATATCAAACTGAACTGATGAAAACAGATGGCTACATACAGCCTACACTTACATATTCATATTCTTTTTTTCTCATGGTTTGTTGTGTGACCAAAACCAGGACGAAACTGCTTTGTTGACCAAAATCACCATATGGTTTTTGGTTTTCTACATCTTTCAAAGAATGAATTTTCACTAGAGTCCAAAGTAATTGCTTGGTGGCCTAGTGTTACAAGTGGGACTTGTTCCACATCGGATTTGGATGGGGTTTGAAGTGTGTTAAATGGGTGAGTATGTGAGCTTTCGGGTGGGGGAGAATGTTACAAGTGGGACTTGTCCCACATCACATCAGATTTGGATGGGGGTTGAAGTGTGTAATGGGTGGGTATGTGACCTTTTGGGTAAATGGGCAAAACCCTTAGATATAGAGAGACAAACGAATAGCCATATTGTAAAACAAAACAAGAACCAAAGCCAAGGCAACGCTCAATATGTTTTACACACTTCAAGGTCACATACCCACCCAAGGCAGTAGTGCAAAGCCAAGGCAACGCTCAAGAGCCCCAGTAGCAGGCTACTGTGATGGGCCCTTCCATTAAAAAAATAAATTTAATATCATATGGGCCATTGGTCCACAGATACTACACTGGATCTTAGCCAAAAGGCGGAGAAAGGTATGCTTATTCACTTGTTGGGCCTCCTCTTTTATCACCAGCTGCTGTGTCACCCTTTTCCACTTGAAATTGACGTGGGACTTCAAGCACAGCTAGACCCTTTTCCACTTGAAATTGACGTGGGACTTCAAGCACAGCTAGAAGGTTAAGCAACGCGGTATACTTTATTTCAATACATATGCTTTTTGAAAAACAATACAATGAAACTTCCCTCTGGGAGATATATGCACCCCCTCATAAGTTACGAGAGATTCAGAAGACTCACTATTACCTTCATAAGCACTGAATAAATCTGGTGCCAAATGACAGCCCGACATTCTGTACTAGCTCGATCATTCATTTGGTATGTTGTGCCGATCGATAGAAGTTTACTGACCTGGAGTTTGGTATGTGTCTGGGTTTATTAGTTCTCCTAACAACAGTGTCTATATGAATTAGCCATTGGATGATTGGAACCATCCTGGATAAGTCGTGAAAAATTTTCTGGTCTAAATTCAAGTCTTCCCGAGCTATTGATTCATATATGAATTCCTGTCTTTAAAATTTATTGTGCAAAGCTGTGGCAGAGCAGAAAATGAAGTTGTGTTTCGATCCAAATGTGGACAAAAGATAATGCCAATTGCCAATCAGTCTGAGCTGCACATTTAGGACACAATGTAATAATAATACAGAGTCATGTTTATAAAGAATATTGCTTGAACCCACTAATACGAGAATGTCAGTTTCTCCCAACCGTTTTGATTGCAAAAACCTTAAAATTGTCAGGAGAACCATTTCATGGCAAGTTGATAACTTAGAGGACTAGTGCATACAAAGATGATGTTTTTGTTCATATTTTCCCCTTAGTTTAGTTAAATTCTTATTCATACTTATTAGGTTATTCTATTAATCTTGCCTGCATGCTTCAATCGGTGGAATTGCTTATCGTGGCCGCGCACGGAAGGTTAGTTTTATCATCTCCATTACTGGACTCTTTTAGGTATCCTTCGATCTCTCTCTCAAAAGGAAAACAGAAAATAAAAATTAGTATAAGGGTTATATGCTCAAGCAAACATTATTTCAAATTTAACTGATAAAAACAGATGTCTGCACTACACTTGTCTATCCTTACAGGCTACACTCTCTCATGGTTTGCTGTGTGACCTAAACCAGGAGGATGCAGCCTTGTTGACCATTTTAAGCAAAATTACTATATGGTTTTATGATTTTCTACATCTTATAAAAAAAAGGGTAATTTGTACTCACACCCCCTAAGGTTTGCAATAAAGATAGGTAGATACAATTTAGCGAGAGTATGATCCAATTGCTCCCTCAAGTTTGCAAACTTGAACACCACCACCCCAAACTATGAGAGTAGATACAATATATTATAGTATTAAATTAAAATTATTTATGGTAATGTTTTACATAAAAGTTAAAGTTGGCCCCCTCAATTTTTTTGTAACACTCTATTTATAGTACTAAATCATAGATATTAATAGTTGTTTTCTATATAAAAATTAAAGTTGATCTCTCTAATTTTAAAAAAAATAATAATAATTCTATATGGTTCCCTATATTAAGTATGGTTTAATAATGAAATTACTTTTAATCCCTTCAAATTCCAATAAACCTCTTGCTATAAAGGATCAAATTTAGTATAATATATATATATGTGTATAAATTATTATAGTAATCCTTATAACAATATACTATATTTATGCACACATATATTCACACGCATACATAAATATTAGTATTTGTTATGAATTAGAAAGAAAAAAAAAAATTATTCACTTGACAATAACAATGATTCAATTGATAACTTTTCTCTTCAATTTTATTGCATATTATTTATAGACACATTTTAACAATACATTAAACTTGCACAAAAAAATTTCTTACGATGATGTCGCATATGGCGTTGGCGGGCCCTGGTAGAGTTTGATTTATAAAGGTTACTATTGTACTTTAATAATTTAAATGGGCCAATTTCAAAGTTTAAATAGGTCAATTCCGTAATTGGGTTCCAAAGTTTAAATAGGTCAATTCCATAATTGGGGTGGTGTTGCTCAAGTTCTATGACCCCTTATTGCAATGTGAGGGGGTGTAAGTGCAATTACCCCCCACCTTGCAACCTATTGTGGTTATTTTTTTTTTACCTGTAGGTTGTTTTTATTAGTTATTCAAGTTTTGGGCCACTCTTTTATATGGTCCAAAGTTGAGGGTTCAATTGAATCCACTACTTGCTGACAGAGGCAAGAAATTTAAAGCCCATTGAAAGAGACCAAAATGTTTCATACTAGATTTGGGTGGGGTGCGCCAAGCCTAGGCAATAGTGCAACACCAAGGCGACACTCAAGGACCCCAATAGCAAGCTATTGTGGTGAGCCCTTCCCCTAAAAAAATAAATTTAATATCGTGTGGGCCATTGGCCCACGTATCAGATATTAAACTGATAAGAACAGATACTACACTTGATCTTAGCCAAAAGGCCGAGAAAGGTATGAGTTGTATCTTGTTGGGCCTTCTATTTTATAACCAGTTTCTCTCTCACCTCTTTCACTCGCAAGCGATGTGGGACAAAAGAACAGCCAAACATGGTTAGCAAAACAAACTGTGAAAGTGTTCTCTTTGGTGTTCGCTTAGTTTGAAGTTTGAGCCAGTGTCACACAAATAACTTCTATATTTCAAGTTTGAAACTAAAACAATTAATGTGCATGACACGTTTTCAACCAAGTATTTGCCATAGCTGCTTTCTGGTTCAGCCAAATCAATCCCCTTTCATTGTAGTCTTATCAGTTCACCTGCTCTTCAAATCCATCAAATATGCAAATTTAGGTGTAGTGTTTATATTTTCAAATTCAAAAGTTGTTAGATTAAGTTGACGACAATCAAATGATTATCTATTTTAGAAGTATAAATTATTGGAAAAACTTTTCACATTCCGGAGGAAGTTGGGGTAGCGCAAATTGGAGATAAAATGAGAGAACGCTGACTAAGATGTTTGAATGAGTGCATCAAGGGTAATATTAGGGGGGAGACTAAAGTTAATATGGATATATTAGTAAGGAATGATACTTAGTTGTGCCGATCGATAGAAGTTTACTGACCTCGCTCTAAGAGTTTGGTATGTATCTGGGTTTATTAGTTCTCCTAACAACAGTGTCTTTATGAATTAGCCATTGGATGATTGGAACCATCCTGGATCAGTTGTGAAAACGTTTCCGGCCTAAATTCAAGTCACAGCCGTTTTGATTGCAAAAACCTTAAAATTGTCAGGAGAAGCATTTCATGACTAGTTGATAACTTAGAGGACTTGTGCATTTAAATTCTTATTCATACTTATTAGGTACGATTTATTTGTTCATATTTTTTCCCTTAGTTTAGTTAAATTCTTATTCATACTTACTAGGTTATTCTATTGATGTGGTAGATTCTCTTTAATTACGACATGGTCCTCTTAAATTCTTATTAGGTTATATTCTATTAATCTTGCTGCATGCTTCAATCGGTGGAATTGCTTATCACGTAAGGTTAGTTTTATTAAGCAGTTACGCTAAAGCAAACATTATTTCAAATTTGTCTCAGGATACACTTGATTTTCTACATCTCATCTCTTGGGCCTCTTTCATATGGAGTCCTAAGTTGAGGGTTTAATGGAATCCACTACTTGCTGATAGAGACGAGAAATTTAAAGCCCCATTGAAAGAGAGCAAAATGATTAATACTAAATTTGGGTGGGGTGCGCCAGGCCAAGGCAATAGTGCAACGCCAAGGCGACACGCAAGGACCCCAATAGCAAGCTACTGTGATGGGCCCTTCCCTTAAAAAAATAAATTTGCCCCTTAAAAAAATAAATTTAATATCGTGTGAGCCATTGGCCCACGTATCAGATATTAAACTGATAAGAACAGATACTACACTTCATCACTTGCTATTGGGGTCCTTGCGCGTCGCCTTGGCCTCGTGTGAGCCATTGGCCCACGTATCAGATATTAAACTGATAAGAACAAATACTACACTTGATCTTAGCCAAAAGGCCGAGAAAGGTATGAATTATATGTTGTTGGGCCTTATCTTTTATAACCAGCTTCTGTCTCACCTCTTTCACTCGCAAGCGATGTGGGACTAAAGAACAGCCAAACATGGTTATTAGCAAAACAAACTGTGAAACTCGCGAGTGTTGATTGACTCTTCTTCGGGGTGTTCGCTTAGTTTGAAGTTTGAGCTAGTGTCACACAACTGCCTGCTATATTTCAATCTCGAAGCTAAAACAATTAATGTGTAGGACAGAGTTTCAACTAAGTATTTGTCATAGCTGCTGTGGCTGTTTTACTTTCTGGTTCAGCCAAATCAATCCCCCTTTCACTGTAATCTTATCAGTTCATCCTGCTCTTCAAATCCATCAAATTGTGCTCAAATGTGCAAATTTAGGTTAAGTTTGTGTTTATATTTTCAAATTCAAAAGTTGTTAGATTAAGTTGACAACAATCAAATGATTATCTATTTTAGAATTATAAATTATTGGAAAAGCTTTTCACATTCCGGAGGAAGTTGGGTTGGTACAAATTGGAGATAAAATGAGAGAACGCTGATTAAGATGTTTGAACATGTGTATCGAGGGTAGTATTAGGAGAAGATAAAGTTAATATGGATATATTAGTAAGAAATGATATAATATATGTGATTGGAGTGAGAATATGTTCTTCAGATACAGCAGAAATAAAATATAAAATTCATGTACTCGGTTTCAAATAATTGATAAAAATACTTTGCAGGATTAGCTTTCAATTGTTGAATCGGCATTGCAGCATGTCTACATCTCATGGGACATAAATTGATAAAAACCAGTCATACATCAAATGATGGATAAATGATATTAATGGCGCCGCTAGCAACCACAAGTTGGTTAAGAAAATGGGATACAATTGACAACTCAATCAAAGTCATGCATACTCCTAATTGTGACAATCTATCACAATAGCCATTATTAGGCCATTACGACCTCATCTATACAAAATTTTCTGGTTGGGACACACATTACACCTTTCGCTTAAGTCAGATTTTTAATCAGTCAATCACGTATACAATTAAATAGACCGTGACATAATAACCTTTAATAGATAAAGTGATTGTCCTCAGGCCGGAGCCAGCATGCCCAGTGGCACATGCCCCTGGTCCCACCTCTTCTCTTTATGCATGCATCATTTTATAAATGGGTGAGTATATAATAATATCTAACAACTTGTGTTTTTAAGTAAATTGGTAAGCGTCCATCCGTTGCAGTTAGTATCAGAGCCAGATTTAGTCCTTGATCTAGTGTCACGCTAAGCTTCCAGGCTCGGAGGGCGTCGTGGTCTAATCCTGGGTAGGCAGGGTGGCTCGACCACAACAAATCGGGTTCGGGTGAAGGAAGGGAATGTTATAAGTGAGATTTGTCTCATATCAAATTTGGATAGGGTTGAAGTATGTAATGGGTGGGGTATGCAACCTTTTAGGTAAATGGGCAAGACACCTAGATAGAAGGAAGACAAATGAATGGCCCGACCACAACAAAGCGGGTTTGGGTGAGGGAACGTTATAAGTGGGACTTGTCCCAAATCAAATTTAGATAGGGGTTGAAGTGTGTAATGGGTGGGTATACAACATTTTGGGTAAATGGGCAAGACACCTAGATAGTATATAGTAGAAAGACAAGTGAATAGCCATATTTAAGACAAAACAAGAACCAAATAATTTACAACTTGATTTGGGTGGGGTTGAGCCAAGGCAGTAGTGCAGTGCCGAGGCGACACTCAAGGCCCCAGTAGCAAGCAACTGTGATGGGCTCTTTCCCTAAAAAAATAAATTTAATATCTGTGATGGGCCCTTATCCTAAAAAAATCAAGGGTTAATTTCACTAACACCCCCTCAGGTTTGGCTAAATATCACCTTCAAATATCTTTCGAAAATAACTATCACTCGCATCACAAACTTTTCCCCAACCTTTAGTTAAACAATTTTGACACGATGTAAAATGACTTAATCACCTTTTGAATTTGTCGGACGAACCATTTAGCTTAAAGAATTAGATTAAAAGACTAAAATACCCCTAAAAAGTTGTAAATTTACAAATTATATATATACATACATATATATATATACACACATTACACAGAGACACACACACACACATATATATATATATATATATATATATATATATATACATACAGACAAAGACAATCTGCTTCGACACTCTGCGGGAAGATATGTTCATTCTCTTTCTCCTCTCTCTTTTTGCATGAATCGATCTTCCTTTTTTTTTTCTTTTCTTTTTTTTTTTGTCACTAGCTGCTCTGTCACCCTTTTCCACTTGAAACTGATGTGGGACTTCGAGCACAGCTAGAAGGTTTATTTCAATAGATATGCTTTTTGAAAACCAATATAATGAAACTTCCCTCTGGGAGATATATACACCCCCTCAAAAGTTACGAGAGATTCAGAAGACTCATTATTACCTTCATAAGCACTGAATAAATCTGGACACAATGTAATACAGAGTGATGTTTATAAAGAATATTGCTCGAACAATGTCTTACAACCATTTGATTTCAAAAACCTTAAAGTTGTAGACTTGTGCGTGAACAAAGATGATGTTTTTGTTCATATTTTTCCCTTGGTTTAGTTTAATTCTTATTCCTACTTATCATTTCCATTATTAAAAGTCAACTTCTACAGAGCTATTTTTCTCTCTTAAGTTGTTTTGGGTCCTCTTTTCTAAGCTATTTATTATTTGCTTGAGATAGACCAGAAGTTTGAAGGCCCATTGAACGAACAAAAAAATTGTACTTGATTTGGGTGGGGTGCGCCAGGCCAAGGCTATAGTGCAACACCAAGGCGACGCGTGAGGACCCCAATAGCAAGCTATTGTGATGGGCCTTTCCCCTAAAAAAAAATAAATTTAATATCGTGATGTGGGACAAAAGAACAGCAAAACAAACTGGGAAACTCGCTATTGTTGACACTTCGGTATTCGCTTAGTTTGAAGTTTGAGCCAGTGTCACGCAAATAACTTCTATATTTAAAGCTTGAAACTAAAACAATTAATGTGCATGACAGAGTTTCAACTAAGTATCTGCTATAGCTGAGGCTGTTTTGCTTTCTGGTTCAGCCAAATCAATCCCCTTTCATTGTAATCTTATCAGTTCATCCTGCTCTTCAAATCCATCAAATCGTGCTCAAATATGCAAATTTAGGTTAAGTTTGTGTTTATATTTTCAAATTCAAAAGTTGTTAGATTAAGTTGACAACAATCAAATGATTATCTATTTTAGACTCATAAATTATTGGAAAAACTTTTCACATACCGGTGAAAGTTGGGGTAGCACAAATTAGAAATAAAATGGGAGAATGCGGTCTAAGATGTTTGAACATGTGCGTCAAGGGTAATATTTAGGGGAAGATTAAAAGATTAAGACCAAAGTTGATGGGAAATATATTATTAGTAAGGAATGATATAATAAATGTGTGGTATATGTGGTTTAAATAAGGATACATTCTTCAGATAGAACATAATGAAAATATAAAATTCATGTACTGGGTTTCAAATAATTGAGAAAAATAGTTTGCGGTTAAATTCAGTTTTTTTTTTTTGAATTGTCGAATCAGCATTGCAGCATGGGACAGATCAAATGGTGGACGTACCAACTGTTTCATTGGACCAATAAATGATATTAATGGCGCCGCTAGCAACCACAAGTTGGTCAAGAAAATGTCACAATTGGATACAAATTGACAACTCATTGAAAGTCATGCATACTCCTAATTCTGACAATCTATCACAATTGCCATTACGAACTCTTCTATGGTTATTGTCACAGGGCTAAATTACACCACGAATTTTTGCCTCTGCAATGGCACTTGGGGCCACCAAGTCTCAGCCAACACAACAACACAATACACACAATATAGAAATATAAAGAAGGCACACACAGTTTACAGAGACAAGCCCCCAACCTTTGCTCATATTAAACATATTACAAAGGAACATGAGTTCGTACAAGGAACAACCAAGGCTCACACCCTCTTCTCTGTCCCCTCTACAAAGCCCACCTTAGCATTATATAGGCCACTCTCAAAACCGCCCATAACTGCCCACTAAGATGATGGATGACACCCCCATCCACCTAGGGTCGTGCTGGCACCCTCTAAATGAGCCAGCACTATAATGCAGTTGACAAGCCCAACTGCTAGACTTGTTGGCATGTGCTGCTCATGCCACATAACCACAAGAAGTTAGATTCTGCATGGTGGAGGAAACCACCCTTAACCGCCTGTGTGTTGGTCCTCTCAGAATTGTGCCACATGTTTGGGAGGTTACTCAGCACTCCCCCACTTCCCATGATGAGTGGGAAGTGCTAGTAACTTCCCCCAACCAACCGAGCCCACTAAGCCACCACCTCTTGTAACCGCAAGCCATGACTTTGTGTTATCCATGCTCTAGCCACATCTGAGTCAACCCTGTGAACCTAGCCCAAGCCAAGTCCACCAATCTGCACCCACATATATATGTCTCTGAGTGCACGGCGTGCCAAGCCATGCACGCCCGTGCGCACGCTCGGGTGCACACCAAAGTGCACGCCGGCGCACACACTAGTGCCCTTCTTCGCGCGCCATGTTTGTACCCTCATGCGCCCGTGGCTATACTCCCACCTGGACGCCCATGTGTACGCCGAGCTAGACGCTCGCGCACACTAGGTTGGACGCCTACCCGCGCGCCCACCTGCACGCCCGCACGCACGCCGCTGCACTCCAGCGCGCGTGTCGGTGCACACTTATTTGCCCTTCAATATCTTGGATGCTCCCCACTTGTGCAACCATCTTGGAGTGGTGCAACACGTGCCCATGCACGTTGGCTAAGCCCTCTAAGCAAGCCATGCCATAGCCCAACCGATGCGCTCAACCGACCCCCCTAATATAGTCTTAAGGAAATCCAGCACTCTGACAGGAGTAAACATCACCCATGCTTGAGGAGTCATAATGGCCTTTCAGACCTTTCCCGACATCCAAATTGAGTGCCGTCTGCGCCAACCAACTTCTATGGACTCAAGGTATCTCCCATAAAGATCCCGAGTCAAAACTCCAAGTTTCACTTTTCGCCATATTTACGAAAGTGCCACTGGGCACCCCCAGTGCACGCCGAGCATCCTTTTAAGCATCTTGTGTGCACGCTGAGCATCTTGTGCACGCTGACAACCCACTGAGCACCCTCATGGTTGTCTAATCAAAGCCAAAGTATTCCTAAGACATGGCATAGCCTTGAAATGCCCATGTCTTCCCTTGGACAACCGTCAAGGGGCTAACAAACCACCCCCACCTGAAGAAGTCGACGCCCTCGTCGACTTGTCCAAGTACTCCTTTACCTGTTTCTCAAACTGCCATAATGTCACATCTCTTTCCCAACTAGCCTCTGCTTCGCTGCATCCTTTCCATTGCACCAAGTAATCAGTTCTGCGATTTTTCTTACTCTGACCCTGGGTCCGGTGAGACAAAATCTTCTCCACCTCCTTGTTAAACTGCAACCGAATAACAGGTGGGGCTCTCTTAGCCTGCTGTCTTGATGTATCTGCAGTGTCCTCATGAAAAGGCTTGAGGAAACTCACATGAAAAGTAGGATGGACCTTCAGTCTCTCAGGTAACTGTAATCTGTAAGCAACATTCCCAACTTTCTTCACAACTTCAAATGGACCATCATACTTCTGAATCAGCCCTCTGTGAACAATCTTGCTGCTTATCTTCTTCCAAATCTGTGGAGTCAACTTCAACAGAACCTTGTCTCCCACTTGGAAGTCTAATGGCCTTCTCACTTTATCTGCATACTTTTTCATCCTTCTCGCAGCCTTGGCAAGGCTGTCCTGTGCCTCCTCCACCATCTCTTGCATGGAACGGGCATATCGGTATGCTGCAGGGCATCTTCCACCTGTCCTCTGCACTGCCACCTCCTGTGGTGTGCGAGGTTGTTGCCCTGTTGCCAACTCAAAGGGACTCATTCCACTTGCTGAAGACCTGTGCAAATTATAAGAGAATTGTGCAGTGTCTAGCAACTCTAGCCAATTTTTCTGACTTGCAGTGACATAGTGCCTCAGATATTCTTCCAATAACTGGTTTATCCTCTCAGTCTGTCCGTCAGTCTGAGGATGGTTTGCTGTGGAGAACTTCAGTTCAGAACCTATCAAGCCAAATAGCACTGTCCAGAACCTTCTCGTAAATCTGGTGTCACGATCACTAACAATATCTTCGGGCAAGCCAAAATATTTCACCACAAACTTATGAAATAAACCAGCAGCAACTTCCGCTGGGCATGCATGTGGTGCAGCAATAAAAATTGCATACTTAGAGAATCTATCTACAACCACAAAAATAGATCTCATACCTTCCACCTTGGGAAAACCAGAAATGAAGTCCATTGAAACTGACTGCCATGGACGCTCTGGTATAGGCAAAGGTTGCAGTAGCCCTGCATCCTTCTTCCTTTCATGCTTGTCTTTCTGACAGACCAAGCAAGTCTTGACATATAACTCTATGTCATCCTCCATCTTGGGCCAGTAATATGATCTGGATATCAACGCCAGCATTCTATCCACCCCTGGATGTCCAGCCCACTGAGGATCATGCATTTCCCGCATTAGTTCCCGTCTCAAACCTCCAACAGGAACATATAATCTACCTCCTCTGGCATAGAGTAGATTATCTTCAATCCAGTACTTTCTGACTTCACCATCAGTAACCTGTTGCTTTAGTTTCTGATAGGCATTGTCGGACTGAGATTGCTCTTTGATTCTGTCAAGGAAATCAGTATACACCGTTGTCAACGACGCCACATACTCCTGCACTTCTTTCCTACTTAAGGCATCAGCAACCTGATTCTGCTTTCCAGGTCTGTGAACCCACACAAAATTGAACTCCTCAAGAAACTCTTGCCAACGAGCTTGCTTTGGAGTAAGCTTTTGCTGTGTCTTGAAGTAGGTATTGGCCACATTATCAGTCACCACTGTAAACTTAGTACCCAACAGATAGTGCTTCCATGCGTCAAGACAATGTATCACTGCAGTCATCTCCTTCTCGTGAGTTGTATACCTCTGTTCAGCATCCTTAAGCTTCCTGCTTTCAAAGGCACATGGGTGTCCTTCTTGGACTAGAACCCCACCAATTGTTCTATCAGAGGCATCAGTATGCACTTCAAATGGCAAACCAAAGTCAGGCAGTCTCAAGACCGGTTCTGTAGACACTGCCTGCTTAAGCATCTCAAAAGCATTCTGGCACTCCTCAGACCAAACCCACTGTTTGTCCTTCTTCAGTAAGTCCGTTAAAGGACTAACCTTCTTGGAATACCCCTTTATAAACTTTCTGTAGTAGTTTGCCAACCCTAGAAAAGATCTTAACTCTGTCACTTTGGTAGTTGCAGACCAATCAAGGATGGCTTTCACCTTTCTCTCATCCATTCTGACATGGCCCTTACTGATCCAATGCCCCAAAAACA